TTTGTACCCGTTACTTCCGTCCAATTCGAATGTATTCGAGTCCATTTCTATTATATTATGATTTCCAATTGTGACTAACACGTCCAAGGTTCAGTTATTTGAATTAAAAAAAAGTTACTTGATATTCACTGTGAATATACAACAGATTAGAAAATACATAGAGCATCGAATATTACGTTATGTTAAAAATTCGTAGGTACGTATTCTTAATAAAAAGCGTAGCCACGTCATGAAAGCACCAAATACGTGACTGATGCGTAAGTGAATAATTTTTCACAAACTAATTGACTCTCATAGCGTGAACTACATCATGGAATCATGCATGACAATGTTAAATAATCCTTTTTTCTGTATTTATTTTGTATTAAATTATAGAAAAATACGCCGATGTGAAGAAATTAGGACATTCACTGTAGTTGTTCTTTCGAACAGAACTTTAAATGATTCCTGAAGGTCTACTTTAAGATTGTTTTCACGGACTAAATAGGCGAACAGCGCCATGTGTTGCGAGCCAGGTAGAAAAAGTTCCTGGCTCGAGATCTTGGCTTATAAAACGCATCTGGCGTGCGGCATCGTGCGGCTTGAAAACTCGTGCCTCCCTTTTGTTGACGTTGTTTTAAAATCGTCGAGTTCTTCATTAAATTACTATATCGTTAATGTCGATTTTCAACTACCGATAATAATTAAACGACGAATTCTGTCTACGTTTACTTTTCTAAAATGACGCATTCACGAATTAGCGACTTCCTGTTATGAAAACGAGATTAAGCTTAAACCGGCTTCCCGCATTGATTTATTAATAGACTAAGCGTGTCGATTGTGATTGCGCGACGTTCGGTGAGTATTCATCGGCGGGTTACCTGATCATAGAACGCGACGTGTGCAAAAAGAAACCACAAAAGTTAGCAGCGATCGAGAATAGACGGTTAATCGCGCGAATTAATCGACCGAGTTCGAATCACAATGTTTTACAGTTACCTATTCGCATAATTAAACCTACATAGAAATAGAGAAAAAAAAAAAAGAGAAACGAGGTGTCCTGTCTGCAATAGTGAGTTCCAGGCATTATATCGCCGGCTACTTCCGTAATCCTCCTTATTGACGGCACAATAGTCGGGATTGAATGTAGCGCGGGGTTCTCGGGCCGTAACGAAATTATTAAGTGGGCGTCCCGTCCCGTGCCTCGTAACGGGATCGATAGGCAACGCGCGATGGTAATGCACTCAGTATGACTCGTGATCGATTCCGATTGACTGTGTACAACTCATCTCCGGGCAGCCTTTAACCTTTTTCGACTGACGAAACTCGTTGCACCAGCTGCACGTTTCAATGCCCGCGTAAACGTATGCGTAGAAGATAGGAGAAACGTGTTGCACTCATGCACATACACGTTACTTACAGAGCTGAGTTGGAATACCATTTTTTGCTTCGAATATTACAATTATGTGCAAGGTCTCGAATGAATTATCGAGAATGAAGACGAGGAAACTGTGGGAATTGTTTTTTCTAATGTTCCTATAGTTTACTACACGATTCACATGTGTATTCTATTTTTTCCTCTCGTTTAGTACGTGTATATCTTTTTTATATTAATAGATACATACAGATATGTATGTATTTTAGATGGTCTTGTCGATTCAAGTGAATCCATCTAACAACGAAAGATTAATGTCATACTATGGCCCCTGTAATGATACGGTCCTATGTAACTTTTGTTTGGAGAACTTTTCTATTACTATCATACTTTTGGGATTGTCCTAAATGGCAATAGATAGTGCTTTATCATGTATAACCCTTTACTATAATCAACACAAAGAAATTATTATTTAGAATCCTCAAGTCTATTAACTTGGAATTGTCGAATACTCGTTGGGTCTGTCAAAGTATATGGAGTGATCGCATGATTCGGGATATCGAAAACCGATAACGTCCGATCGGGATCGATGCGTGTTAGTCCAGGCGCAGGTGCACGATTTCCCGGTGCGAAATTTATAGATCGGTTCCGCGGTTATCCGCGAGCGGGCTAGCCGACTCGAGGAAAGCCTAAGGGGGTTCGGCTTCGATTCAATGCCCTTGTTCGCCGCGGGTATACGTTACGCCGCGTTATCTCGATACAGGTGCGTGCGCCCCGGCGCGGGAGATGAACGGTCGTTAGAGAGAGGAAACGGTATGCAGATGAGAGGATCCTTTTCGCTGCATCCACCTCCGGACGCACCGAGTCGCGCCTCGGCCCGATTTGGCGCGACCTAAACAAACGACAGTTTATCGCACGAGTTTCTGTTTCTAGAGCTGTAATTTCCTTCGTGTTGGATTGTCGCGTGTTTGCTCACGAGGTAAATACGAATTTATGGTATAAGCCCTTGCATAATGACAAAACATTCACATTTTAACAATTATTAGATATTATATTAATAAAACATTGTGCAAAATTTTAGAAATTCGAGGCAGTCAAAAAAGTTATTATATGTTGAATTCTTATGAATGGGAAAATTCTGATTTCATTTATGAAAAATTATGAATGAACCAGTGAGAGAATTCCATAATTTCGTATAATTATCATGAATTGAAAACATGATACTGTCATTCGGTATGGTTATGGTTCGGCATAATTTGCAGGTTCATGGAAAAGATGTTCGATTATACGTAGCATGGGAATCGATTAAAAAACAATTTCTATTTGTTTGTAAATACATTTGCGCTTCTCTTGTGTATATTTTATGTCAATGGAATGGAACTATAATTGTGTAAGCGTTCCCAGGCTCTCTAATTTCGTACGTGTTTAATGCAAATTTCCTAGCTAGATTTGACAGCTGTTCTTCCTGTACGTGACTCATTTTCAAGAGCTTCATCTTCGGTTTATAATTTCATAACTCCTTTGCGGTGATCACGCTAATTTGTTTAGCCCGATTCAATGACACGCCTGGTCACGATCCGATTTCCAACCACGTTCGCGGAAGAAAATTCGGGCTAATTTACGCGCAGGTAATTTGAATTAATCGGTTATAACCACGCGGTCCATGATCATGTTTATCCTGTCAATAGTCTGTGAATTTTTATGCAAAACAAGCCATTTATAGTCAGTTAAAAACTGCATTTCAGGTAGAAATTGCTTTTATCATTGAGGCATTGCAACATTTAATATTTCGTACAGTTTTATGTATCATATGTATTCTTTAATATTTTCGACACATTTAATTTTTGTATGAAGTCTACTTAAATAATAATAAAGACAATAATAAAGGGATTTAATTAAGATATCGATAATTTCAATTCCGTATTTATTACGCGATTTCTGATTTACAATCAAAGCTTTTGAATTAATTCGAAGTTTGTCGAGTAAACGTCTGTAAATAGAAGACATTATTCTAATGTCTAAAGCTTCCAATGGTACGATTTATTTTTTACGTAATAATCGCATAAACGGAGAATGTATGTGTGTACATATAACATGGCTAAGCGACTTAGCCGAAACACCGTTTCAATCCATGGATATTATAATAATCGTTGGGCAAACTATTGCGCGACGCGATCGATAAAATGGGATGGGGTGGCTCGCGTACTCCCTTCGAATCAGGGCATCCCAGCCTGAGGGACTGAGCCGACACGCTGAGCCGTGCCGCGACGTACGCGTGTAATCACTGTAATTTCGGTCACGGAGCGGCGTAATTTTTGGCCGGCCGATCGCGAACTTTCATTCGATTTCATTAGTAGCGAGAGAACCCGGGGCAGTGTTTGCAGGTCGCGTGCGATGTGAATGCGACTAATGTCCTGCGACGAAATTAATAAACACTAAGGTAAGTGTCTCAATTCCTCACGTCCTAATTTCCATTCATTAACGTATGTTTCTATAATTCCAACATGATAAACATATGAGGTAAGTACAACAAAATGAGGTTTTAGTACTTTTCAACATTGATATGCATGATTCCATGATGTAATATATGACTACAAGACTCGATTGGCACGAAAAAATTTATTCAATTACGGAACTGTCACACATTTGATTTTCATAGCGTTGCTACGGTTTTCATTGAGAATACGAGCCTACGACATTAGGAATTTCAGTTAACACAAACTTCTAGTGTACAAGAAGATGTGGACAGTATTTGAATTTCTTACTTTTATTACTGAATGTCTTACTGAATAGAAATAGACATATAGGGGGGTAAAAATAACGACCCTAATTTTTAACTGATTGTGAGTAGAAGTACGATTATCGAAGGTATATCCTTCATGCTTTAATGTTACTTAACCTTTATTGCAAAACTGATTGTAACTGATGTTTTGATGATTACTCTGAATGTATATTAAATTCCTCATGTGTAAATACTTTCCATTACATTTGACTTGTTGTTATTTATATTCAATGGGTTGTGAAATCATGTTTAACTCAGTAAAAATTGGGACATTTACCTTATTCGATTTATCACTTTCGAAAATTCTTCTTGGACGTTTTAGTCTCATTGCCAAAACGAAAGACGTACAAAATAGTCTACTGTTCTTTTTACATAATGCATAAGTACACGATTTTGTTTACAATGCATCAGTGCCGAACAAAAGAAAGCGGCGTTCAATAGATCATTAACGAGGAATAATTAAGTAAAATCGCGAGGCCGCTTCCGTGTTACGTATGAACAAAAGGTATTCTTCTGTTAGCTGTCGATGGCAGATTAACGAGTCGCACTTCGAACTGTACCGCTTAAGGGAAACTAGTATACACGTGTATTGTAGCAGATCTAATGCATCCTGTGTGTTTAAAAAAGAAAATGTTCAATGCGAAAATTAAATTACGATACAGCCAGCCAGTGTGTGTATCATAAATAGTCTACATCATCGATCTCTTGTAGACGTTACAACGTGATCTACATATCGGCACGGTTTCTAACTACCTAATCAGCCGGTCGTTTCGCGTGTTTACTCTCCTCATAGCGCTACAAAACGGCTGTCAACAAACCCATTACAAGCGACCGAACCAGCGTAAAACGAGAAATAGGACTCACAGGCACGGGCATCGACGGCGGAGCCATTCCGCGCAGCGCAGCGCCGCTCCATTTACGTTTCCTGTTCTGATACTGCGCGCTCCTGTACCCACTGTTATTCTGATGCTCGGCGTACGCACCGCGGATCTGCTGCATCGACGCTCGGAACGCGGCATAATTCATCCCGTGATCGCGATGCGAGAAAACACTGTCACTGTTGACACCGGTCACTCTGTATCGTTCCTGTTCGTGATCGTCGATCGTCTTCCGGTCGATCGTACGATCCGAGCCGGGTCTCGCGGTAGGAAACGACGGAGGCAGCATCGTAGCTGTAGAGATTGGGCCATAGAAATGGGAAAACCCGTAGGAATTCGGGACGCTGGTCACCGGTCTCGGGTAACCTTGCGATTGACAATGATTCACGATCTCCGTATTGCTGCCTTCGCGCTTTATCGGAGACACAATCGGAGGCTTCCTCTCGTAGTGATACTCCTGATGAGTGGACTGGTACTCCTCTTGCGGCTCGTATTTAACATCGAACGCGTCGGCGGACTCCAGTGCTTCGAGTTTTACTCGAACTCGGCCGTCGGCCTCGTTCGAGTTCCTCGTCGAATTCTTCGAGACCGACTCCCCGTCGCCCACGCTCCCCTGTTGCATACTTCAAATATTCACGGCGGCGCGGTGACCCGCGTCAATCCGCGAGTTTGATCCTGCTGGATCGAATCCTTGGTCTAATAGTCTCTGATAGAATGATCACAGGCTTGTTTCCATGATCGACCAGATGAAAGTACATCGTTTGTTCTGTCAAACCGATCTTCCTCTTATCACCGATCAATGAAAATGCGAAATTAAATTGGAAAATTAAACAGAATTTCGGTCAAGTATTGTCATAGCCTTTGATGATTATTTCTTACGCAGGGCACATACAGATAACTGATTTCACACACGAATAACCACAAGCATAAAATATTGTAAGGAAACAATATCATGTTAAATCAATATTAATGGCAATCATAATTTCTTGCACTACTACATGAAATTCTATCGAGTATAAATAAAAATGGAGAATTTTTCTTAGAGAATCATTGTCACTGATGTGTAATAATAACATCCAATGAAAGGTGTTTATTCAAACAAAAACAGTTCATGTTCCCAACTGCTTGGATTTTTCATTGGGAACACTTGTTCGTCCAGCAATGGAATAAGTATATCGTCCAAAGCGAGAAGGTTGTTGGTTCATGTTTCATTGCAATGGTCGTATCGGATGTTCCTAGATCGTTGCATGTAATCATGTAGAAGAAAATTGTTCTTGCGACGAAGATGCAGGAGCAGAAACGATGCAGTGTTTGTTGGTCGGCAGACGGTGGTACGGCAGGGCAGAAGCAGCGCTGTGCGGTACAGTCGGCTCGGTGGTTTTCGGTCGAGTGGAGGGGTGGGCGAGAGAGGGGAGGACAAGGGCGGCGTGACAGTTTCCGTGTCACGTGTCCCCGACCTTAGGCCCCGCCTACAACTCCGATTTTCCTTCGACCGGATCGTTACCTGACCCTATCCACTCTTTCCCCGTCGTCATTCGTCGTGTGTCGCCCGTGCGAGACGCGTGACTCCTACTTCTCCCTGGTATCGACGTAGCAGCGGGAGAACGAGCCACGGGGACAATAGAATACTTTCCTCCTTCCTTGTCACTTGGCGGGCGAACTGTCACCGGTCCGTGGCGCGGACACGCTTCGAAGCTTCCTTCCCTTCCGTTTTACCCCCCTCTACGGCCGCGGGAGGCGACAAGCGTGAAGCACACCGTGAATAACGACGCGAGTATCACGCGAACGTACGAACGAGTTTTCACCGCGTTCCGCGAACTTTTTACGGTAGACTGGCTGGAGAATCCAGCGGCAACCGACGTGCTCGCTCTCGTTCGGTTTGCGCAGACAGTCGAGAGGGGGTCGAACCTTCCCTGGATCGAACCCAAGTCTCTCTCTCTCCCTCCCGTTCCGTCTCTGTTGCTCTCTCTCTCTCTCTCTCTTTTGTATACGGGTTTCTTACGAGTCGCGACGACGACGACCGCACGATAATTATCGAATCGCGGGAAACACCGGAGACACCAGCATACACGTAAAGGATGCCGGATCGCCTTCGGTCGAGCTGATCGCGTACGAGTTTCGTTGCACGCAGCGTGAAACTCTTGGTCGGAGGTGCGCGGCCACCACCAGCAAACGGGAACGCACGAACCGTACCGAATACGCCCGAGCTCCGATATATTTCTCCTCTACCGAAGGAGGAAGCCTGCCTCCCGCCTTCCGCGGACCTACGAACGGCCAGACCCACTTTGCCGGCTCACCTTTTGTCGAATCCTCCGGCGAGCCTCTATTCACCGTTTACTATTTACTTACTCGCGTCTTTCTCCCTATCTCCGTCGTTTCCTAACGTGTTCTTACTACCTGAAGAAATCCTATAGCAATCTCAGCAAAATTTAACCACTTTTAGTATTCTGTACATAGTATGTATGTATGTATACATAAATATTACATATTGATCGATTATTTAATAATATTGATAACAAAAATACTGTGTTTTTAACACAATGGTACTGAGTTAATCAGTTGTGTGTAACTGTTGTTGTTGTAGCCCTGGGATCGTAAACACTGTGCAGGATCAGGATCAGTTTTCTCCAATAGAACCCCGAGAACTTTCTTAAAAGCGTTAGGCTCTACCTCATTTCCGATGCGCTTTTCTTAGCATGCGGACATTCTTACGAAAGATTATTACAGTTGTATAGAAGGAATTTCATTTAGTAACTACATACATTGTATTTACATACATATGCAGACAGATTTTTATACGTTGTACTGTGTAGAAGCCCATTATACTAATACATGTAGTACTACTATACATTATAATCCACAAAGTCCGTGCAGCAGATCAGATATAATAAACTTGTAGCACTTTTCTGTTAATAATTTCCAAGGTATGTAAGAGAAATGTATGAGGAATAGTCTGCTGGATTGTTTGCAATGCATAATGTAGTCATTTGCACCGGAACAGATAGAATAAGACATCAGTACCGGACGAGCCACTCGATCGTCTCCAAAATTGCACCGCGGCACTGGCCGCGAGTACTTGATAAGGAAAATACCAACGGTTGTAGGTATCATGTCGTAAAGAGAGGAAATTTATCATTTCCGATTCCGTGTTCACCCTCGGCGTTGGTTTCGACGAGAACCGGCATTCGCGATTCTGTGCGCGCCGTTACGCGATATATCAGATTACGTATCCGTTGCGTCATGTAAATTGATACTTGTACACGGGCCGTGCACCGCCAACGAACATTTATTCGAGTGATAAATTATCGTAACGCCGAACAGTCACGCTTTCAATTCGAATTTCACTAACTAGATCACCGAAGATTCGACGTACGCCCTTAAATCAGCGGCTGAGATTGTGTTATGACAGTTGCGTTATTGAAAAGAAGTATGAAACGAGCTTTTTCCTCTTTAAGATGCTTCATATTCACATTGTAATTAAAATTTAATAATTGAATATCTACAATCCTATAATATTTAGATAAGTAATAAATATCTAGGATAAGGAGATAATGTCTTTCTTTGGAACAAGAACTTAGTTTTATTTAACTTAAATTAATCTTGTAACACATAAGTACTTATACAGTACGAGTCGTATGTACTTTCTTCATTATTTTTATTTATTTCAAGACAGTTACTTCATCCCTGGCTTACGAAAGTCGCGGAAGCATGAATTTTATTCGATTTTGTTTCTACCTTTTCTGATATCTCTTTCCCAAAGCCAATATGTATAAACCAACAGAATCGAACATCGCGCTAAACGAGCGCAGTCTGGTTCCTCTCGTCATTTACTCGTTTACAAGATGTAAATGCGTGCTGTACACAACAAGAGAAACACATTAAACAATAATATTTAATTTTCATATATGTATACAATGCATGTTCATCTTGTCCGGGTACAAAATACAAATAGATATGAGAATTTACTCATCGATGATAGATAACGGATCAGACTTCTAACGTTCTGTAGTAAATAAATGTCGTAGCAAAGAACTGATTGCCAGTCTGAGTCATCTTGTCCCTACGCTTCTTACTCTTTTTACTACTTACTGTTATTCAGAATCGACCACACAGCGAAAGATTACGTTCCATCGATCACGTGTCTTTCACACATCAGTAAGACTGTGCGAGCTGCCACTACTTTTAAAGTAAACTAGTCATTAATTTTACGATAGATAAAGCTGTCGCAGATTTTTACGCGGCGTATCAGTCAACCAGCGTAAGTGAGCGTTTATCGCGTTGTAACCACGACTACGACACGGCTAGCAAAAATCCGAGCTGATATAACGGAGGGACGTCAGTCGTAGACGATAGCGAGCGTTGACAGCGACATATCGGGATCGAAAAATGTCCGCGGTACGAGATCGGCCGCGACCTTTAAGCGCGACTACGGATTTTTTAACCGCCTTCCTCGCACCGGCCTTCGTGGCGATAAGGCAGCGAACGCACCAGCTGTGCGATACTTCACGAGCCGAGGAGGAGCTCGATTACGCAATCCGGGCCACGCTTCCCAGCTGTCCGATCGCGAGTTGAAAAGGGGAACAGTGGGGCCATCGTATCACAGGCAAAGAAAATACGTACATACATAGATTGCGGGCCTGCTTACGTTACACACGTACTATAGTAACACGCATATTGGATTCACTTCCGAGATCCTAATTTAGTAGTTCTGTTCGGGTTGTTGAACGAATGATTGAATATTTTTTAGATGAGACTGGAAAATAACAAAAATATTTGTGAACTACATATGGGAAAAATATTTGAAGTAGTTCCTTCTGTGTGAATGTTCGGCACGTACTATGCCGTATGTCACTATCATACAAACATATACATATAATATACATATGTTATCATTGTACGAAACACAATGTTCTTCTATTTTATAAATAACGCGACAAGCAATGAATTATTCAAATGAATCATTACGGCATGCGACCAGAGTCTAATGCCACGCATTCTTAAATCTGAATCTCCCCCGGGCGAGAGGTATGCCGGGTTATCTAATTTCCAATTTCCGTCCGCGATAAAATTCCTAGCTACCTTCCACTTCCCGTCCAGCCGTCTCGTGAAAGCCAGCAATTACCGGCGCGGTCAAAGGATGTCGGTTCGAAACGCGGCAGCGGCTGCGATGAGATATACCATGTACGCGCAATCTCGCGAAGAATTTTCACCGGAGGTGCACGTAGAGCGGCCGAGTGGCTAGCAGTTTCCTGGAGAACGGATCCGCGAGAATGGGCGTGTGTCACCAGGGTCACCCGGGGACAGATCGAGCCAATCGTAAAGTGGGAAGGCGTGGATCCCGGTGTCGAAGGACAGCGAGCGGACGACACGGGAAAGAAGGGGACTCTCGAAGCGACACGAACGGTCCCCTCCGACCGTCTCGAACTCGGTCCGCGTGGTTGTGTGGGTGTCGCGGTCGCGGGGTAGACCGGCCGAGCGGTGGGGTCGGCGTCGAAGGGGTCGTAGGGGAATAGTGGACACGGTGGGGACCGGTCGGTACGCCCATCGGTTCTCAGGTGGGGAAAACGGGTCGTTTCGCGCATGTGGCTCGACAGAGCACGGCACGGGAGCGACACGTAACAGAAGCGGATCGTCGGAGAGAAGGCCGTTGGCTATTTTCGACGCTGAATCGAGAACTGAATTAGGGGTCCAAATAGAAAGGAATTTCTTTGTTTGTTTGCTTTCGCCGGGCTTCAAAGGGAGAACGCGTCCAGCCTTCTTGGATTAATGCTCTTGCTTTTGCGTGCTACGTTACTACTACCCGCTGCACCGTTCGCTAGCTCTCTCGTCTGTACGCGTATAGTATATCGTGTCGCGGTGCCGTGTTCTGTTCAATTTCACGATAGGAATCCCCGTTTTTCCACGATTTCTCACCGATACACCTACGCAGTTGAATTTATTCCACCGTTTTGAAGAAATCGATTCGGTAGTCACACAAATGTGGTTTCTCACCGCTTTTTCCTATGCCAATGATTTGTATTAAACGAACAAAAATTACACTGATTTAAATACCAGGCAATATGAAACTTCTGGATTCATACAAGATTTCACGTGCTTCTCCCATTACTATACGTATATTAGAAATTAATTTATCGTGATTTGATGGAACTTGGAAAAACCAACCTTGGAGAAAACAAACTTGGTGCAGATTTGGAAAATAAATAAATGTGTTGTACAATATGTGAAACTGTTCACAAAAAATTTCCTCCCCTTTGCTTTCGATTTAATTATAATAATTCTATAGAAGCGCCCGGGGTTTTTCTGTACGGATCATTCAGCTGTTCTCTCCTGGAAAGAATGACCCAGGGTAGTCCCTGTACTGTCCTCGATGCAACGGGCCTCTCAGTTTGACGACCGATGGGTCAGCTTGTTCTCTTTCACGAGAGCACAGCATGAGAATGACTTCATAACTAAAGACTGTTTTAAAAAGACACCGAACTAATTACTATACATAATAATTCCAGAAAATTGGTCGTCATGCATACTGAGAAAGTTCGCTGCAATTTCACGACTGATCTCGTCGAGATCCGCGCTCAATCCATATTGATCTTCTTTCGTGGGCAGTGCGTCGGCTTTTGTAATCGAATGATTACGGAATATTTGTTGGCGCGCTCGGTGCACGCAGACACGATGTTCTAGTCGGTAACTCGGGTAGATACTAGGTAGCCTGTATAGGTTCATACCTCCGTGGCTATGCGCATAAATTTCCTTACCGGGCTTCTTCGTCATGGATCGTGACCACGGACGTCTACTCGAACAAAATGACTGTTCGCT